AAAACCAAGCATTAAATAATTGTTGAGAGGTCTTTTAATTATGTTAGCTGTTAAATGCATTACTGATAAATTGATCAAATTAAACGGTCATTTTGGTCTTTCTGATAAGTCTCTCCAAATTCATGTTATGTACACTATAGTACTGAATTTAATAAATTAAACAAGATATTGTCTTGCATATCTGTATAGTATGCCTTTTAAAACTGTGTTAAGGCTAGGTGCAGTGGCTCACACCTGTAATCCCAGCACTTTGGGTGGCAGAGGTGAGTGAATAGCTTGAGCTCATGAGTTAAGAGACTAGCCTGGGCAACATGGCCAAACTCTGTCTCTACAAAAAAATACAAAATTAGCCAGATACAGTGGTGCATGCCTGTGGTCTCAGCTACTCAGGATGCTGAGGTAGAAGGGTGGCTTGAGCCCAGGAGGTGGAGGTTCACAATCTCAGTGAGCTGAGATTGTGCTACAGCACTCCAACCTGGGTGATACAGCCAGATCTTGTCTCAAAAAACAAAGTGTGTTACAAAAGTCTGTAATTAGAAAGTGTGGAAATTTGTCTTTTTCATATTGGAAATTCATTATTAATGTACAATGTATGTATCTGAGATATGAAACAGTGGAAAAATAAAATTTTGAAGGAAGATAGCCAAACAGAAATCAGTGTAACAAAGCTGTCTAATATGGTCCTTTAAGAGCTGGCCATCTAGGAAGGCATCATCCAGCCATCTAAGAAACAGTCTAATCAGCTCATAAGTCTTGTTTTTATTACTTATTTGAGGATTCCCCAATATTTTCATCTTTCTAACGTTTAGAAATTTACCCCAACACTGTATATTCATTGGGGACAATATCATCAAATTGGGAAAAAGATGATGTCTGGGCTTTTATATTTGGAAAGTTCAGGAAACATTACAGTTTCATGTTAGCTTTGAAACTAACAGCATTATATTGCTGAAAACTTTAACTGATGATTATCAAGTTTCCTTTTATATTGCACAAATACTAACCTGATTATTTGTCTTTGGTCACTATCTGACAGATTATTTATATTGCAGAGCATCTGAAATCTTGTGATATGACCCAAGGTTTAATTAAATCCACCAATTTTTCTATTAACTGAAATCTGAAAGAGTACACTATCACTTCTACAATAAACCTCACTGATAAGGGTAAGAAGGAAGCTATCAGAAAGAATGGGACACATTGCTCTTAATAAGGTACAGGACACAACATTATAGAATATTACTTCACAAATTATGAAGAAGGTATAACATAGTACTTGACGTAAGTGACCTTATTAAGATAATCTATAAGCAGAAATCAACTTCCACTGTAAAATGCACTCCTCCTTATTAGAAAAAGTCAAACCAAAAAGCTGTACCTTCTAAAGATCTTTCTCAATTTAATCTCAACTTTATACAAGTCCACACTGCAGAAAATGTGCAAAGAATTGGGCATATCCATGTCAAACTAAACCATTTCAAAATAGAAAAGCCAATGGATTTTGCATTTTAAAATTAACATAGAGACACTGGATCATTATCTGATTTTCTAACAACCATCTACACTGTAGACACAGATATACAGGAATAAACACGATTCAATTTGCTTGTAAACACAAAATTTTTAAAGTTTTCATTCCTTTTCTCTATACCTCAAGGTACATGATGCTGAAAAAAATAAATGTTTTTATGTGCTAAGCTATTTGTCCGCATTCTTTTCCTTCTACTTTTAGCTTTTTTTTTTTAGTTTAAATTTTCCTTTCTGCTTCCTTTCTAATTATTTTCCCATTATATCGACCCCCAACATTCTAATTTTATATTCATTTCTAACAAAGTAAAATTATTATTAATTGAGATCCCACTTAAAATTTTTGATAAATCATATACAACATCTGGTATTCCTACTTTATTTATGAAAACTGGTTGAATTATATAAAACCATAATAATATGTATAACACAGTATCAGGTTCAAGTTGTTTAAAATTAAGTAGGAAGAATTATATATAGTTAAAAACAAGTTAAAACAGATATCTGATAAGTGTCATAGAAACAGTAATTGAGAGTGAGCAGCTTTGTAGTCTGTTCTAAAAGAATAAAAAACTTAAAAAAATTCTCTGCCCTTAAAATATACAGAAGCTTGTTGAAAAGATATAAAACAGTCAGTCTATAATGCCCTAATAGTAACACTAGCAAAAAACAGTATTCATAATAACAGTAATGCTAAGAAATAAATGACACATTGAATATTTCTATATACCAAGAATTTACATATTATGTTTAACCTTTACAACAGTATTTTTATTGTAGATATGAAAAAATAATACCTACAGAACTTAAATTATTTGTCCAAGATTACACAGTAAGCAGTGAAGCTTAAATCTGAAACACTTTTCTATTTTAAAAGTATGAGTTTTCTTGTTTTGTTTTCAATTTTTGTTGGTACATAGTACGTGTATATATTTATGGGGTAAATGAGACACATTGATATAAATATGCAATGCATAATAAACACATTCAGGAAAAATGGGGTATCCAACGTCTCAAGCATTTTTCATTTGTGTCAAAAACAATCCAATTATATGCTGTTACTTATTTTGAAATGCACAACTAAATTATTGACTACAGTCACCCTGTTGTGGTAGCAAATACTAGGTCTTATTCATTCTTTCAGTTATTTTATTTTTACTCATTAACAATGTGTATCCTCCAAGTCCTACCCCCAACTACCCTTCCCAGCCTGTAGAACATCATTCTCCGTAAGTTCAAATGTTTTGATTTTTAGATCCCACAAATAAGTGAGACCATGTCAAGTTTGCCTTTTTGTACCTGGCTTATTTCATTTAACCTAATGACCTCCAGTTCCATCCATGTTGTTGAAAACGACAGGATCTCATTTTTTCTTATGGCTGAATAGTACTCCATTGTGTATAAATGCTACATTTCTTTATCCACTTGTCTGTTGATGGACACTTACGTTGCTTTCAAAGCTTGGCTATTGCGAACAGCGCTGCAATAATATCTGCACGTAGGAGTGCAGATATCTCTCTGATACTGATTTCCTTTCTTTTGGGTATACACCCAGCAGTAGAACTGCTAGATCATATGGTAGGTCTACTTTTAGTTTATTAAAGAACCTCTAAACTGTTCTGCATAGTGGATATACTAATTTACATTCCCGCCAACAGCGTATGAGAGTTCTTCTTTCTCTACATCCTCACCAGCATTTGTTATCGCCTGTCTTCTACATAAAAGCCATTTTAACTAGAGTGACATAGTATCTCATTGTAGTTTTGACTTGAATTTCTCTGATTATCAATGATGTTGAGGACCTTTTCAGAGCCTGTTTGCCATGTGTATGTCTTTTTTTTTGGGAAATGTCTAATCAAATCTTTTGACCTTTTTAAAATCAGATTATTAAATTCTTTTCTACACAGTTATTTGAGCTTCTTATATATTCTGGCTGTTAATCCCTGTCAGGTTGTCTGAATATATACAGCCAGAATATATAAGAAGCTCAAAGTTGTCTCCTCACTTTGTTGATTGTTTCCTTCGTTGTTGAGAAGCCTTTTAACTTGATGTGATCTCATTTGTCCATTTTTGCTTTGTTTGCCTCTGCTTGTAGGATATTACTCGAGATACCTTTGCCCGGACCAACGTCCTGGAGAGTTTTTCTGATGTTTTCTTATAGTAGTTTCATAAATTGAGGTCTCAGATTTAAGACTTTAATCCACATTGATATGATTTTTTTGTATGTTGACAGACAGAGATCTTGTTTCATTCTTCTGCATATGTAGATCTAATTTCCTCAGCACTATTTATTGAAGAGACTGTCTTTTTTCCATTATATGTTCTTGTAACCTTTGTCGAAAATGTGTTCACTAGAAGTATAAAGATTTGCTTCCAGGTTTTCTATTCTGTTCTACTGGTCTATGTATCTGGTTTTATGCCAGTTTCATTTTGTTTTAGTTACTAGAGCTCTTCAGTGTAATTTAAAGTCAGATATTGTGATTCCTCCAGTTTTGTTCTTTTTGCTCAGGATAGCTGTTCTGTCCTTAGCTGTTCCATATAGATTTTAGGATTTTTTCTATCTAAATGTGCATATTTTTAACTTCTATTATATTGCTTCCAAAAAAGAGTTCAGGAAATTAAAGTAAAAATTTGAATGTGGCTAAAGTTGTCGTGAAAGAATTCATAAACAGGTCATGCTACGATGTTAACTCTTAGGAAGGAGATATATTTTAGGGAAGTTTAAGAAAGAGGGAGCATATTTTGGGTACGCATGCATGGGAATTGAGATAAATGGGAAGTGTTTTTAATATTCTGCTTATACAATTAAACATTTAAACTTTTTACTAATTCACAATGGACTTGTTCCATGGTGAAGCTTTTTGTGAGCAATTTTAATTGTGAGAGAAACAAATAGCAGTCTCTTATTTTCTCAAACTAGCATGCCTGCATTTGAACTGAACTGAGATCAGATATCAAATATCCATTAGAAAAATACCATAATTCTTTGTGGATTTGGAGGAAAGACTGAACTTTCTCATATCTCTCTTTTTTTTTTTTTTTTTTTGAGATGGAGTTTCGCTCTTGTTACCCAGGCTGGAGTGCAATGGCACGATCTCGGCTCACCGCAACCTCTGCCTCCTGGGTTCAGGCAATTCTCCTGCCTCAGCCTCCTGAGTAGCTGGGATTACAGGCACGCACCACCATGCCCAGCTAATTTTTTTGTATTTTTAGTAGAGACGGGGTTTCACCATGTTGACCAGGATGGTCTCGATCTCTTGACCTCGTGATCCACCCGCCTCGGCCTCCCAAAGTGCTGGGATTACAGGCTTGAGCCACCGCGCCCGGCTCTCATATCTCTTTATGGGCTTTATTGGATGGACCATCATCATATTTTGGGGGTCAAAATCATACATTTAATCAAGTATTAAATCAGTACACCAGTATATATCAGTAGTTTCCCGATAAAAAGACATGGAAAGACATTTGCTTACCTTGTATTACATGTGAGTTGTCTTTTAAGAAGAAGTTATACAGGTATTTGGGAATAAAAGCAGACATACACGCATAAGCCAAGGCTAAAAGAGAATAAGGCAAAGGCATGTAAAAAATTAGTTAACATGGTAGATGACCAGCAGTAATGCATTCACTTAGCACATATTCCTAGAATCTACTATTAAATAACAGTTGCAATAGCAAGTGGTAGAAAAACAAAATTAAGAGATAAAAGCGTCTATGCTTTAAAACACAAAATATTTTAGACAACAAAAATAACTCTATAACTTCAAATTCAAACTACTGTGGCAATCATTATCACACAATAATCAAAACTTTTATTACCTAAACTTTCTTAAAATTTCTAAGCATAATCATTATTAATAAGTTATACAGACCTCATGATCTTTAATTGCTGCTGATGCAAACAAGAGTCTATGAACTTTGGATTTAGGAACAGTAGTTATAATCCACATTATCAAAAACAGACCCCTTACTGTGCTTGGATCAGTATGAGTGATAATTGGCTATGCCTACCTAAACACAGTAAAAACTCTAGTCTAGATTAATGAGTGAGAACATCAGAGAACAGTGTATTTAATAGTAATTCAAAGAGTAAAATTTCATTTCTCTGGAATTACGCTATTTCTATTTAATTCCAGAAATCTATGCAAATTCTGTCATGAAATAGAATTAGAAAATATGGAGATTCTCAGATAAGGCATCTAGACATTCAAGCTATGTATGGTAACATTGTCTATATGCGATTTCAGGGATTGGAGTTATTTAAATTTAGTATTTATTGAAAAGCCTACAATAACAAAGTTATTGCAGAAGGGCAGGAAAAATAACCTGTCATTGAAAAAAGGCTGTCAAAAAACTATTACAACATTAGTACATAAGTAACTAGAATATAAGATAGACACAAGATAAATTTTCATAAATACAAAGTGCTTTATGGTCTCAAGGAGAATAAGCAAAGTCTTCATTAAGGAAGAGGTATATGAAATGATTATAGGCTTTGGAGATACAAGATTACAGAAAAGTGCCACCATAATTGATTTCTTTACAAATTCTTTAGAAAGTATACTTAGACAAAAATTAATCTCTAAAGAATTTAGAAAAATCAACTTCCACTAAATTCCTAGTAATAGCTTTAGCAAAGCTGAAACTGTCCAGTAAAAAATTAATCTTTCACCTCTCTAAAATGAGTCTATAATAAATTATTTCACAGAACTCTACCAGGGAGAGAATAAGAACCTTAAAACAAAATCAAAAACCTTGCATGTCTAAATCAAATATTTTAGAATATTATGAGCAATGATTATTTAAATGATAAAGAGGCTTACCTTCATTATTGAAGTTTAGATAAAGGAATGGAGCACAAAGTGAGTCAAGACCTAATGCAGAGGGATTGGGAGAAAGAAGTCAAATAAATATAATCTAGTAGAATTGAAGATATATACCTTATTCAGTTATTTGCATTACCTCCACGTAGATTAAACATTAGAAGTATGATCCATCCAGAAATATGTTAATTCATGAGTTACTGTAGGGAGTGATAGTGTAGCACATAGTACATGTTCAATATAAATCAGTTATTATTATTATCCATATTATTATAAGTTGAAAAGAGAAATACAATAATAGAAAAATGTAAGAATGTTACAATGCTTTGGATATTGTCCCATCTCTGACCCTAACTGTGTAATCTTCGTAATTACTTAATATTTTCTGGCATACTTTCTCATCTAGGAAATGGAGTTTTGCTATGTTCTTTTTCTTTGGAATTATGAAAAAAAAATTCTTTAAAAATTGTGAAGTGAATTCCAAATATATGACATTTCTTCTACTGATAATAATGATGTGCATGTGCTGTCATGCTGAAAAAACGTACATAAATCTACCTTAAATTGTTAGGAGGGTATAGAATAGTTCTGAAATACACAGAGCTAAGGAAAATAATAGCTATATTTCAACTATGGCCAGTAAGAAATAGAGAATTGAAATATGAAAATAGCCACTTATATTTAAAAATAGGGCTGTAATGGGTTTCTCATTCTTTATCAAACACAAAAATAATCATGGCAAAGCTAAAAATAAAGAATATGAACCATTAATGATATGAGGCAAAAAAGACAATAAATAAAATGAGGACTATAGGGTGATAGCCTATTTTTAAGCCCTAATAGCCATCGTAAGTATAAATTAGAAATCATTACCTATAAGAATCTCAACTAGCCCCAAATGATTTAACAAGTTACATAAGCATTTTAAAAATGTATCCACAAAGACAATTCCAAATATTCTTTCTGCTTTGCTAATAAACTTGCATGCTAAATATTATGTGTTTAAATGATATCTACTAGGATTTATACAAAGATTTTTAAAAATCTTTGCATGTAAACCTCTCAAAAAATGAATTGCAGCTTTAATATCGACTTTTCCCAAAGACAAGGATGTTTAGATACTTTAATTTTTTAAATGTCAGTTATGCAACAATCTAGACAAGGATGTTTAGATACTTCAATTTTTTAAATGTCAGTTATGCAACAATCTTCTAATATTCCAGAAGAGTTTTAGTAACTAAAAAAGTTACCTTGCCAATACACAAGATCAGGATGAGACACTACCCAGGCTTTTAATACACGCCTAAATTTTGCATGACCTTCTGGTGATGATAACAGTTCATCGTACTGATGACAGCGAGGAATATCCACTTCAATCTGTTAAAAGAGCAAAGCAATAAGGTGAAACAATAATTGTCTAATTAGCAATAAATCCTTAACTCTTATTCATTAAATAAATAAGGAAAAGCAGAAGCTATACTAAGAATTTCAAAACAGACCAACTTAAGTTCCTAATTTTTTGAATTTTTTAATTGATCTTATAAAAACACTAAAGAAGTTGTACGTATATTTAACCAGGAAAAACAGACCATTTCTTTTGAAAAGTTATGTATTAATATACTTTTCAAAAACATTTTCCTTTATAATCTAGTCTAAATGAAGGGCAAATTTTTCAGATGAAGAAATATAACATTTTTAAAAAGGTAACTTGGCCCATTTGCGGCTATCACTGAAGTGGGAGTGGCCAAAATGAAATTCAATCCCTTTGTGACATCTGACCAAAGCAAGAATTGTAAAAGGCATTTCAATGCACTTTCCCACATTTGCTGGAAGATTATGTCTTCCCCTCTTTCCAAAGAGCTGAGACAGAAGTACAACATGAGATCCATGCCCATCCGAAAGGATGATGAAGTTCAGGTTGTATGAGGAAACTGTAAAGGTCAGCAGATTGGCAAAGTAGTCCAGGTTTACAGGAAGAAATGTGTAATCTACATTGAACGGGTACAGCAGGAAAAGGCTAAAGGCACAACTGTCCACATAGGCATTCACCTCGGCAAGATGGATATCATTAGGCTAAAACTGGACAAAGGCCACAAAAAGATCCTTGAACAGAAAGTCAAATCTCACCAAGTAGGAAAGGAAAAGGACAAATACAAGGAAGAAACAATTGAGAAGATGCAGAAATAAAATAATCTTAAGTAAAAGCTTTGATTAAAACTTGAAATGAGGGAGAAAAAAAAAGGTAACTTGACCTAAAGTCCTTTAAGGTATCGTTCTTACTAATTTATAAGCATAAGAGTTATGCTTTCTCTAACAATAGATTATGAGTTATGCTTTCTCTAACAATAGATTGTGTCATTGCACTCCGGCTTGGGCAAGAAGAGTGAAACTCCATCTCAAAAAATAATAATTATAATAAATCCTTCCCTGTCAACACTTGTCTCAATGATTGGCTTTCTGTAAGGCAAGCACTGGGACCTAGACTGAAACCCTAGTGTTCAGTAACAAAGTTTGGTTACCTGACCAGGAATGCCTTGATTGTGGTTCAGCTGCCACAGGCTGGGAGAGTTTCAGAAGCCCTCCCAAGCTTTTGCTTGACTATCTTTGGCCCAGAGGTTGGCTTTGGGCTCTCTCTGTGGGCCCGCCACTGCTGGCCCAAACTGCATTCCTGATTTTCTAGGAAGACTTTGCAATTTGACATGTGCATCTAGACAAACTCGGCCCCCAGAAGGAGGGCAGACCTGAACCCAACCCACAGCTTGCAGCCCAGTTCAGTTTAACCCAACTGACCCACAGATCCTGGAGCAAGAATAAGGAGTGGCATTAAAAAAAAAAAGTATATAGCAACGTCTATGTATTCATGAGAGAAAGAGGTTTTCGTCATGATCCTTCCTAAAATTTAAATATTTGGCAGAATTATCTTAGGTTGCTTAACAAAACTTAAACCATACTTGTCTATCTGTAGGAATTGGAGTGTCTTTATCAATTGTGTCGTACTTGGCATGAATAGCTCCCTGAGGAAAAAAAAAATATATATATATATTAATTTATCATATCTTTAATACAACTAGTAATATAAAAACATCTATTTTTTACATCTAACTTTGGAATGTAAGCACATTCTACAGGTAAGCACATTCAAACCCAAGGTAGACCTCATTTTAAGAGAAATTCTCTGTGTTTTTGGCAATCTGTGATGAAGGTCTGTGATAAGTGACAACTTGTCATTTTGCTGAGGCAAACTCTTGAATTATACATATGAGAACATAAATGTTGTGGATGAATTACTTAGCTAGTAAGTATGTTTGGCCAGCCTCCCAGCCCCTACAACATAACACAACCTTGTTATGCTATGTCTGTAATTACACGATAGAATCATTAGGGCCTAACAGGATCAATTACGTTTCTTAGTTACACTGTTAAAAATTAGAAATAACTGAATAAACTACTACAAATTTTGGTCATGTTCTATAGGACCAAGCAAGAAAAAAATTTTTATTCTGGCTTCTTATCATGGTAGAGAAAGAGCCAGTAATTAGAGCTCAATCTCTGATATCTGCTATGTCACCTTCTTTGGGATATTCATTTAATGAGAGTTGGACAACCTGATACCTGAAGTCCTCTTCGACTTCAGCATTATATTGTTCTACAAATCTAATGATTAATGCATGATATTGAACAATAAGCATTCTTGTAGAGTAACTAATCAAACTCAAAGGTATTTGTAGACTCTTACCAAGGGAATCAAAAATGAAGAAAGGAAATTCTTCAAACAGAAGACTGAAAAGGATTAAAAACAGTTGAGGATTCAAAAAATTTTTTTTTAGAGACAGGATCTTGTTCTATCACCCAGGCTAGAGTGCAGTGGCACAATCATGGTTCACTGGAGCTTCAAACTCCTGGGCTCAAGTAATCCTCCTGCCTCAGCAAGAAGCTGGGATCACAGGCATGTGCCAACAGCTTCTTCCTTTTTTAAAAAGGAATGATAATTACCTATGAGACAATACAAGAAGACAAGATGATATAGAAATTTACAAGAAATGAAAAATATCTGGTAAGAATTTGGCCCATTATCATGACTGATGTCATCAGAGTTCTCTGTTAGTATTGCAGGCCACCACAATTTGTGATACCTCTCCTTTCTTCACAACCACAGAGAAAGTGTTACAGGAGACAAAGGAGCTATTTTTCGTGGTCTAGCTGGAATAGGTGTGCCAAAAGCCACTAAATTATGTCAGTGATTTTGACAAGACAGATTAAATTGAAATATTTCTTCAAACTTAGAACCACTTATACACAGGTTATCATATTCTATAGTAAGCATACTTTATAAGCAGGACTACCCACTTGTAACTGACATATACTCTTAAAATAGTCTCTGCTTTTAAAATTAATAATCAAAACATTTTCTGTGAGCACCATTAAATGAAATATTGAATAGTATAATCTAATAAACCTGAATTATATTTTTCTATTCTATTCTTTTTCTATATTCCTTCTACTTAAAATTGCCAAATATTCAAATGCTTATATTTTACTATATTATTGTCTAGTAACTGAAAAAAATATGTATTTGGAAAGCACTACCCTTCTTCATCCTTTCTTAGCATTATTTATCAGCTTCTAACCTTCTCTTTTTTCCTTACCTCAACTCCCAGAAGAGCAGCCCAGGTTAAACCTCTCATAAGAGGAGGAATGTCAACTCTTGCTTCTTTCCAGATTTGGTTTTTTTTATATGGATAAGCCTATGATATCAAAAAAGAAATGAAAATGTCTCAAATTACCTAGTGCCACCTTTTAGTCTAGACAGTTCTGAATATAACCGTCAAAAAACTGGAGTGACTTGCAATAAATTTCAAAGTATCTGCAATTATTGTGTCTGGTGTTAGTACTACATATAAATAGGCATTGGAATGAATCCGTAACACCTTGCAAAACTTTTATTATATAATTAAAAAGAAGAGCTGATTCTACCTGTTTTTTAATCCTTCCTCTCTATTTTGTGCTCTGGGGGGATTTTAAAGGAGTCAGATGGAGGATAATAGTATCAGCCTCATATGGGTTAAGTAAGATAATGCAGGTAAAGCACTCTGTTAAAAAAGTGGTGACAGAGAAGTGTTCAATAACTGTAAGCTACTATTATGGGTACTTCTGCATTTTGCATATAAATTTGTACTTTTATAAATTTGTGTCTTAGGAGAAATTTCTAAAAGAGTATAAATAGGACAAAGGACACATGTTGTTAAGGTTCTTGATATATGCACTCAAATTGTTTTACAAAATGTTTCAGCCCATTCACATTTATCCCAATAGAATGAGAGTTCCAATGTTATTGCATCTGTGCTCACTTTGCTAATGTGGTACACAAAAACACCCCTATTTTAACTTCTTTTTTTTTCATTCCTAGTGAAGAACAATTTGAATAGATTTACTAATTGTATTTATATTATGTACTCTATCCATTTCTCTGTTTCAATATTGATGCTTTTTACTGTTGACTTTTAAGTCTTCTTTTAAAAAATAAGGATATTAGTCCTTGTCTAACATGACTTTGCATAAGTAACAAAACTTGTTTTTCTTCTGAATTTTACTTACTAAGAATATGTATCATTTTTAAAATTAAAGAAAGTTAACTAGACAAGATAGGTCATAAAAATTAGTTTTCTCATACTCAAGATTTCCTAAGAATTACTGACAAAATTAAAGAAAAATTCCATATGTGCTATTGTTAACACTTTATACTTTAGAATCCATACCTTTAGCAGCCTGTCAAAGAGAATAATTCTGTTTAGTTGGTACTCTGTGTCTTTCTCTCTGATGATTAAAGGGAGAGTGGCAGCTGCAGACAACTCATTATTGCTGTTTGAATGAGGTAAATTAGACTGGCTGTAAAAGAGAACAAAAGCAAAAAAAAAAAAAAAATCCACAAAAGGTACAAAATTTTATTTTTTTTCTTTTTAACTCTATTGACAGTGATTTCAGAAAAAATTACAAAATTTTAATAAAACAAAACATCGGCCGGGCGCGGTGGCTCAAGCCTGTAATCCCAGCACTTTGGGAGGCCGAGGCAGGTGGATCACGAGGTCGAAAGATTGAGACCATCCTGGTCAACATGGTGAAACCCCGTCTCTACTAAAAATACAAAAAAAAAAAAAAAACTAGCTGGGCGTGGTGGTGCATGCCTGTAATCCCAGCTACTTAGGAGGCTGAGGCAGGAGAATTGCCTGAGCCCAGGAGGCGGAGGTTGCGGTGAGCCGAGATCGCGCCATTGCACTCCAGCCTGGGTAACAAGAGCGAAACTCCGTCTCAAAAAAAAAAAAATAAAAAATAAAAAAAATAAAACAAAACATCATGTTTTTATTTTCTATTTAGAAAACACATTTCAAAGAAAATGTATAAAATTCTTATAAATCTAATATAAACAGAAAGAAAAATAAATGTAAAGTGAGACTATATATACTCACTCATCTTCAAGTAATGGGTAAAACGCTTCTCCGCCAACATCTTTCAATCTCTGTGTATTTAAAGACAAAATATTTACACATAAACATCTTGGGCAGAAACCCTGTTCTTTGTTTAAAAAGAAAAGTAATATAAAAACTATAAATTTATAAAGAGACCTAGAAAAATATAAAATAGAATCTAAAAATCCGTTCTTATCATAAACATGCAAATATACCATGCCTCTGCTGATTTAGGTTTGGCTGTGAAAAACATCTTGTCTTTTTTTTTCTTATCTATAGGTATCACTCACAAATGTTAGACACTTATCATGATATATTTTCCAAACACAACTCAGAATTACTAGCACTAGCATAAAACTTAATGAATGAAAATTAAGTTATATGAAGAAAGATGATTAAGAAGAGGTACTATATATCCATGTATATATTAAAAGCACAACGTAGATTTATTTTTGCTTTGGGATAATACCAGCTAAGTCAAAAGGAAAGGTTCTAGGAAAAGGATTCCAAAAAACTTCTCACATCATACTTTGAACATGTATGACTCAAATAGCTAATGAATCAATGGACAGAATTCACTTAATGATTGTTTTTTACAAAATCATTATACTAAATGTTGTTCCTAATAACAACTCTGACAGGATTATAGGTATTCTTCAAAAACATAAGCAGGAAGGCAGTAGTAAAGTAAAATGATAACCACATTCTAAGCAAGGTGAGTAAGGTTAATGGCATCTTCCCTGCTGCTCTGCTGTTCAACTTCCAATTTGAAGGCAGAATGTCTGCTCCTATGGGGACTGATACAGAAGTTCAAGCTCTGTGTGTAGAAAGCACTGGTCTTCTATTGATTAGAGTCATTGTGCACCCATGTGAGTTATTCTCAGAATTTTTAAAGCTGAAAAAAAATCTTTAACTCAACACTAAGAATTTGGCAAACACTAAATTTATGCCTGGTTCTTCTCTAAAAATTAATGTGCTGTGCACTTATCTTATTCATATCCTATTTTAGTAAACCTTTAGGTGTATCTTTCATATATTGAAATTTTAAGTAAAGAAATAAAATTTTCCCAAGTTTTACTGCATTAATACATATATCTTTTTAAATATTAGTTTTCAGTATCCTGAATGTCATACATTTTATTTAATAAGTCTCTTGTCTGTCTTTTCCAAATACAAAGTAGCACATTAGGATTTTTAAAAGATGAAAACAGTTGTTCAAAAACACTAAAGATAAAAATTATTTGGTTTCCATATAATTTTAAGATTCAGCAAATTAATATTTCTTATAGAAGAAAAGTATTTTAAATTTCACAGGTAGAACTATAAGGGAATTGAGACCGTAGACTTGAAGACTACATTCATTTAACTTGGATGGAATTTAAGTTGAAGAAACAAGAGCAAAGCAAAATCAATTGAAATCATATATTTTGGATGTAATTTATTGTTTGCTGCATGGTATTGTTACTTATTTTGTTACTTTACACATTCTTTCAAAGAGATTATGAATTCAGAGTATCAAGTAGTAATAATTATATATTTTAATTTTCTGTTGCTGGCATTATGGCAGAGAAGAGATACTAATACTCTCCTACTACATAACATGTAAAATATTCAATGATTAGATAAAGCCTTAAAACATAAGAAAAATGCATTGATAACAGATATAAAACTGGGCATACAGAGAAAGGAGTTAAGAACTGTGGTCTAGAGATTAAGACCATAATGAGATAAAGATTTGAGCACCTGCATAACAGACCTTCACAATGGAGAAGACCCTTCTAAAGCCACATAAAGAAAAAACTAGAGGAATTGCTAAGACAGGAAACAAGGATAGGTACCTATTTTAGCCTTAGCTATGAATGATTAGAAATAGAAAAGCTAGCCTTTTTAGACTTCCAGTTTCTTATACAAAATATAAACAACTTAGAAGTCATCATTCTTCCTCTAACAAGAAAAATGCTGAACAAACTGAAAATCAAGAACTCGTCTCACATTTATCAGAATCAGAGCTGAGTGATGTTCTAAAAACTGGAGGGATCCTCGAATATAGGCAAATCACAGCTACCAGGTACATAGCCACTGCTGGAGCCTGTTAAGATCAATTAAAAGGTAATTATCTAATACCTGCAGGCTGAACACAAACTAGTATGGGAGAGAAAAACTTCTGGAAGCCCAGCTTTAGGGAGGCCATCCTTGCTTCCATGAGATTTAACCCCCACAGGTCCTTCCAGGTTCTCAGGGTGAAGATCTGAGAAAAATACCCTTGACTTCCTGCAGGGGGAGAAGGAAAGTAACCAATATGAAATACCACCAGAGTACTCTGTTTTCCTTAAAAGAGGCCTGCCTTAAAGGGAAACTCTTTTACCAGGACCTAACTAAGCAGGTTTTACAGAAATCTAGCCAACTTGAGAAGGAAGTATTAAACTCCAGTCCACTCTAGTCTTTGATGTAGGGGAAAAGAAATACCCAACTCCAGCTCCTCTAGCTTTCCTGTCTCAGGTGGGGGCGGGGAAGGGTGGGAAGCTGAGAAACCTTGTGAAGGTCACAGCCCAGGAACACAGGCTCACTAAAAAACTGAGACTTAATCATAAGATTATTAAAGACTTTCCCCTATACTTTGCTACAATATTAATAGGACTTCCATATAAAAACAGCATTCATTCCTTCAGTTACTATATAGGAAGAAAATACGTAACACATCAAATGAAGAGAAGTACAATGGAGGAAAAAAGCAAAACAAGCTAAAGAGGATAAAGAGTACAAGGGATAGGTGTGACACTGCTGTTTTATAAAGGACGGCCAATAAAGGCCCACCAGTAGGTGACATTTTAGCAAAGAATGGAAATAAAGGAAATGGAAGCAGTGGAAGAGTATTACAGGCAGTGGGAAGAACAAACGTAAAGGCCCCAAAACATATACTTTTAGAAATGATTTTAAAACAAAATTGATAACCTGAATAAACTTATAACCATTAAGAAGACTGAAGCAATGATTAAAAATACACCCAGATAGGGATAAGGAGCCCTTTACAATATAGTTTTAAAGCTAACTGCCAGGAAACATTAAAGAAATAGATATATGTAATCATATAAGTCTTTCAGAAAATAGGAAAGAAGGCAACACTCTCCTATTTATTTAATGAGACTAGTATACTCCTGATACCAAAATAGCCTGGTGTAGTAAAAGAAAAGAAACTCACAGGCCCATCTCACATAGAAACAGAAATGCAAACATTCTAAACAAAATATTAGAAAAATCAAAACACAAATGTATAAAAGAGGAAAAATGAAATCCTGATCTGACTGGGTTTATCCCAGAAATATAAACATGGCTTAACACTGGAAAACCCCATCAACAGAACTAAATCCATTAACATAATACATAAAAAAGCATATGACCATCTCAATAGATACAGTAAAAATACTCAGTGAAATTCAACACCCATTCATAACAAAACTTATAACAAACTAAGAATAGAAGACCTCTATAACTCAATGCAACAAATATTACACTTAATTATGAAATATAAAAAGCAAATTTTTTTTGAGATGGAGTCTCACTCTGTCACCTAGGCTAGAGTGCAGTGGTGCAATCTCGGCTCACTGTAACCTCTGCCTCCCAGATTCAAGTGATTCTCCTGCCTCAGCCTCCCGAGTAGCTAGGATTACAGGTGTGTGCTACCACGCCCAGTTAATTTTTTGGTATTTTTAGTAGAGACAGTGTTTCACCATGTTAGCCAGGGTGGTCTTGATCTGCTGACCTTGTGATCCGCCTGCCTTAGGCTCCCAAAGTGCTGGGATTGAATCACCATGCCTGGCCAAAAGCAACCTTTTAAAACTAGAAATGACACAGGAATGCCCACTATTTCTGTTTCTATTCAATGGTGTTATAGAGGCTCAGCAAAAATAATGAGAAAAGATGAAGTGAATAGATAAGAATTAGAAATGAAGGAAAAGATATCACCTTAATTTACAAGGAAAACCAAAGAGAATCTATAGACATATTATTTGAAAAAGAATAGGTTCAGCAATGTTGCCGGATACAAAATTAACATAAAAAATCAATTGTGTTACTAATCATGCACGAAACAGTAGCTGAAATGGTATTTTTAAAAATATTATTGATATATTTTTAAAACTCATCTACTGGTATACTTAATATTTGTACAATTTACTATATGAAAATTTTGCCTAGAAAGGAACCATAAATAAATCTTAAACTCTAATGTGTCAGCTGAACTGTAGTAGTCTTCATTTTACTTTAAAATGTAAGAACAAAAAATATGATGGATTGATGAATGGCTAGAAGGATAAACTGACATGTGATAAAGGAAGTGAAATGTTAATTCTAGAACCTAGGTCAGGGATTAGCAAACTGTTTCTATGCAGGGCCATATAATAGATATTTTTAGCTTTGTGGGCCATGTGGTCTCTATTGCAACTACTCATTTCTGCCAGTGTAGAACAAAACAGCTATACGTAATAGGACAATGAATATGTCTGACTCTATTTTGCTAGTGGATCATATCAATGCTTGATCTAGGTGGGAAATTGTTCACTGTAAATGCTTTTCAACTTTTCTGTTTAAAAGTTTTTGAAATAAAATTTTAGAAAAAAATCATACTCATACACACACACACACACACACACACACACACACACATTTTTCATTTGCAAGAGCAACAACGAATTACCTTAGGAATAAATCTTATAACTGATATACAGACACTAAAAGAAAACTGTTATATAAAATAAGACAAATAAATGATATGTTTACTTAAGTATGTTCAAGAAATAAAACTCTATATTTTAAATACATCAATTCTCTACAAATTAACCTACAAATTCAATGCAACATCAATCAAAACCCTATAATGTTTTATGAACCTCTTTATGATGATTATACAAATCAGCTTGTAGAGGAAGATATTAAAGAGCTCCTATTCCATTTTGAGGACAAAAAAACTGAAGGTCTTCCCTTGCTAGGCATCAACAGTTCACATAAAACTATGTATTAAAACAATGTGGTATTAGCTAAAATTAGACAAACAGGCCAAGAAATCAGAATATCAAAGCCCAGAAACATATCCATACACATAGAAAAAGTTTGTATTATAGATCAAAAAGGTGAAAACTATTCAATATATGGTACTGAGACAAAGAGTCTTTTTTTAATCAATGAAATATGATATTGGAAACCCTCCTTACAAAGTTAATCAAAAATAAATTCCAGGTGGATTAAATAGCTAAATGTGAAACAATTCTTCACATCTTTTAAAAGGAAATATATAAACACATTATAAAAATACTTACAACCTTGCTATTACTTTAAATAAGTTACAACAAGAAAAAAATACATCAAATAAAATATATTTGACTATAAAAGAAAATAACTGATAAAAATTTAAAATTCTATTTAATAAAAGATAAGTATCAACAAGTTGAAGGAAAAGCCACAGATCAGAATATAGTTTCATGACATATAGCTCACAAAGATACAATATCTGGGATATAGTGTTAGAAGTCCTCAAATCAATAAGAAATCACTCAACAGAAAAAGCAAGAAATATGAACTAGTAAAACACAGAAGAGGTAGGCAAACTGCTAAAATATGTGAAAAGACTTACGACTGCACTATCATCAGGATATTTAAAATTAGTGTTATAGTAAAATACTTTTCCATACCATTGGATTAATAATTTTTAAAAATTTGATAAAAGAAAGTGTTACCAAGTAAATAAAGAAATGAGAACAGTTATCCAATGATGGTGAAAAGATAAAACTGATAAAAATCATTTTTTGTGAACAACCAGATAATAAACCTCAAGTCATACAGATGCAATTCTACTGTGAGGCACACACTTTACAGAAGCTCTCCCATATTTTGTGAAATCAAGGAGGAATACAAGACTTCTTGTATTATCTGTAAGGTTTTAATTAAAGAAAAAAAAAAACTAAAGTAGAACTGTCAAAATATAATTCTTACATTTCTTAGCTGGCATAATGACAATGTCACAGTGGTATCATCTAAAAGTGAGCTTCTATCTCGACCTTGTCCAAAGCTTTCGCCATCCTCAAAGAGAAAACTGAAAAGAAATTTTTAAAGATAAGAATATGCACATAAAATCCAGCTTATTGTCTCTTCTAGAAAGTAAAGTTTATTCTAAGTCATCAATCCCTTCTTCAAAAAAGAATTAAACTTTACTGGATGTTTAATAAAACAATGTATTGAGATTTCTTCAAACAAGTCTCATTTTTAGATATTGCTTGAGTAGGTATGAATATAAACATAAAGAATTTCAGAAAAACAAAAGTGTAATTTACAACTCTTTGTTCATGCAGTTTCAATGCTAACAGTACTCTCTTGACATTAACCAAATGTGTTCCTGAGAAAGTTTATAAGGGTGGAAAAAGATAAAGGGAAGAGAGAAAAAGCATACTGACAGTAACCTCACAGAAGAATATTGAATAACAAATGAATAAAATTTGTTTACAATTTCAATAAATTAGTTTTAAGAGTCTATATATCCTTTCCACCATGCCTTCTTGGAATTTCCGTAAACTTGTCTCTGATTTTCTACTTAATTCAATGTATGATGGTATAATCATAGTTAACATTTAAAATCAGATTAAGAGAGAAAAAAATAGAAAATAGTCAATCCAAACAATTAATGCAAAAGTTTAAAATGTAAGAAAATGATCAGCAGATGACTTCCACAGTTACCTACAATGATCAAACCTAAGTCCTGAAATCTAAAAATTAAAATTTTATTTTATTTTATTTTGAGACAGGCTCTCTCATTTGCTCAGGGCGAAGTGCAGTAGCACTTGACTACAGCTACTGCACTTGGCTCGCTACAGCCTCAACTTCCCTGGGCTCAGGTGATTCTCCCACCTGCAGCTGCCTGTGTAGCTGGGACTACAAGCACACAACACCATGCCCAGCTAATTATTTTTTCTTTACGAGACAGGGTTTCACCATGTTGCCCAGGCTGGTCTCAAACTCCTGGGCTCAAGCAATCCACCTGCCTTGCCTCCCAAAGTGCTGGGATCACAGGCATGAGCCACCATGCCCAGCCTAAAATGAAAAGTTTAAATTATTAGTAGAAGCTCAAGAAATTTAGGTTCATATTTTTATGAATAAACATGAAGAGCAGTGTTGATGGTAATCTTAGCCCCAAGGCTGTAGAGGTATTTCACTTCCAGTCTAATTTCTAGCATGACATCTTCTTATGCAATTTTGCAGATTTTTTAGCAACACACTAAGCACAGTGATCATCTCTACAACATGCAGTGAAGCTACAGAGTTCATTTACAAGTATGCTTGCGAAAAGAACATAGTTCTTCAGAGTAGGCACACTAAGCTAGTTTTTAGTTAACTCTCTTAAATATCCTACTGTGATTTGTATGTTTTTCATTAACATCAATTATTCCAAGATATTCCATAATATTAACTTCATTTCGTACAGGTCACAAAGCAAAATACTGATCAATGACAACTGATGGGAACTCAACAATTAGAAACTTTGGACAATCAAACAAAGTGTTGATTCCAATTACTTCCAATAATCACTTCATTGGAATGCCTACCAAAAAAAAATTTTTAAACAACAAATTTTCTTTTTTATTATTACCATATATGTATAATTATAACTATTTATTTATTTAAATTTTCAAGAGAAGTTACTTTCCTTACTTGGGGAGTGTGCAGATAGGTGGTTTGGATCGAATGATTTCCTTGTTGACAAGCTCTTTCTCCAAGTCACCTCCAGCCAAACACCAAAGGTAATAAACTTCTTCAATAGATCTTTCTGCCAGGTAATCATTGTTTATATCTATTAAAAGCAAAGTCAACACGCAATAATAGCTGCCATTCTAAAAAAATAAAAACAAACACTTAAGAACAGACTTCTAGATTCTAGTTCTGATTATAAGAAGCCTGAAATTTGCTACTCTATCCTAACGACAAATAGAAAGTTGAAGAGACTGAAAAATCAACAATTATTGGATCTGTAAGAGAGTTGAGGACATAGGGCTAACTTCTGTCCCAAGTCTGGAGACAGGAGAATATAGGGAGCTACGGACTACTGGAACAGACGTTCATGGGCAGTGCCTCAGGAACCAATGCCAAATTTGGAAAACCTAAATGGTAATTATAAATTACTGGAGGCTCAATGTAGACAAATCTGAGAGTTTAAAACTCCAGAGGGTACCAGTCATAAGGGATACCCCAACACTTCTGTAAGTTTTATCACCAGGAGTTTGACAAGGTTCTCACATTAAATACTGGAGAAAAATGCTCTTATGTTTCCAGCAGTGGCAGAGGAAATGAAACCATTTTGAAATACAATGAGCACTGTTCTTAAGGTCTGCCTTCAGGATAAACTGGTTAGTCAGAGCCTAACTTGCATGGATAATATCAGAACCTAACTGACCTGGAAAGAGGAAATACCAAAGTGCAGCCAGCTCTAGCCTTCTACGTGGTGGTTAAGGTGTGGGGAACAGAAGCATTCTGTAGTCAGTCTCAGTCCTATGATCAGCCCTCAATCTTTAAGTGAGCCAGTGACTCTAAACAAAGTGTTTCCTTGCCCTTAAGGAGTGGCTAGAATGAGCTGGAGCTTGGTATTTCCCTTCTCCTACCTGGAGGTATGCCATGACTGGCAGATTCTCATTCAATTTTTGTAATAATTTGAATGCTCCAGGCTGAAAATAATATACTACTAAAAGTGGCTTACATAATAAAGACATTTATTCATCTCTCTTAATACAATCATAGGTACAGGAGGGGCCTATGCTTGTCAAAATTCTAGACCATTTCCTGCATACAGAAGAGAAGAAAGTGGTTTACCTATGCTGCAGTACCTTTCCTGTCACAATTTTGTTTTTTCCCTATAATGCCCAGTAATTTCATTTAGATTCCATTAGCCAACTCTAGTTCACAAGTTTACTGCCCATATCAACGGAAACCAGAAAAAGGAAAATCTGGAATTTTTACCCTTTATAATACATAGTATTGGTAATTTTACACTGTACATAGCAAAAAGAGTAAGGGTAGAAAATAGCACATGGGGAAGGAACCAGCACAAATTGTTCCTTCCCTCATGTCTCAAGGCAATGGCTGGCTGCCTTTTCTGAAGTCTTCCTTGATGTTCCAGACAGAAATACAGAACTACGTGCTCCTGCTGTGCTGCCATTGTGCTATATTCATATTGACCTTCATTTATAATAGTGATCGTATAACTAAATGTCTGTCATGCCATTCCATTTGGCATGAATGTTATTTAAAATACAGCATGTGACACATACCAGGAACTCAATAAATGTTTAATTGAAGGAATGTTTAGTTAACTATTTTCTGCCATGACTTAAGTCATAAGAACTTTTCAGGCCGGGCGTGGTGGCTCAAGCCTGTAATCCCAGCACTTTGGGAGGCCGAGGCGGGTGGATCATGAAGTCAAGAGATCGAGACCATCCTGGTCAACATGGTGAAACCCCGTCTCTACTAAAAATACAAAAATTAGCTGGGCATGGTGGCGCGTGCCTGTAATCCCAGCTACTCAGGAGGCTGAGGCAGGAGAATTGCCTGAACCCAGGAGGCGGAGGTTGCGGTGAGCCGAGATCGTGCCATTGCACTCTAGCCTGGGTAGCAAGAGCGAAACTCCGTCTTGAAAAAAAAAAAAAAAAGAAAAAAAAAAAAAGAAAAAAGAACTTTTCAGAATAGAGGTAACTTACTGGTGTCACTAAACCTTACATTCCAAGAGTTGTAATCTTCACACAAGAACTGTCAGACTAAAAGCTGATATTCTCTTCAACATTCACAATATAATGGTATATAATTCTTATCAATAATATTTTTAGATATCATTTATAAATAAATTATATAGAATATCAGTAACTTAAATTTAAAGGATAAACTGTTAGTTCAAATGTATGTGTGTGTGTGTGTGTGTGTGTGTGTGTGTTCTAGCCACTACTTAAGGGCAAGGAAGCACTTGTCTAAAGGCTAGAGGCACAGGCTCCCTTAAAGATTCAGACCTAATCATAGGATTGACTAAACAATGCTTCTGTTAACCTTAACCACCACATAGAAGGCTAGAGCTGACTGCACTTTGATATTTCCCCTCACCAGTTCAGTTAGACTCTGATATTATACAAGCAAGTTAGGCTTTAACTATACACATATATATATTTGTGTGTGTGTATGTGTATATACTTTTTATTTTTTGTAGAGACAGGATATCTCTATGTTGACCAGGCTGGTCTCAAATGCGTGGCCTCAAGCAATCCTCCCTCTTTGACCTCCCAAAGTGCTGGGATTACAGGCATGAGCCACCACACCCAGGCAGTCAGTTATATTTTAATCACTTGCAGAATAATCTCTTAATTCCCAGATAACTATCTATATCACTAATACATATTGCTGATAAATTCAGCTGAAACTAGGATAAGAAAACTTCCTTTAAAAACAAGGCTTATATTATTTTATATGCTTTATCATTACCTTTACACAACTGACTGATATCCTCAGGCAGAGTTAAATCAGCACATCTCAGAGAGGATGAAAATAGACTGGCAGGTTTGGTAAAGTGGGTATATAAAGGTGACACCTCACTGAACACTTTGTCCTTCATTAATTCATCTGGGCTTAGTCTTGAAAACATTTAAAATACAGAGCATGAATGAAAGTCATAAAAAACTTCCTAAAATAATGGCATACATTCAAGAGGATAAACATCTTAAATATCTCATTAGCACAGAAAATAATACAGCTCTCCATTGCAGAGTCTACATGTATACTTTTATATTACAATCAATTAACTGTGAGTAAATACTGAAATCTGAATTTTTTTACTTACGTTGTACTTTCTTTACCTTATGATGTATCAAAAATATCACTCCGTAAGAGCTTCTGCATTTTTTTTACTTTTAGCCTGACTAGCATTTCACCTGCTTTACTGAATATCTTAATTAAATAATAAATATGCAAACTATTATAATAATACCTTTTGGGTTTTCTTCCTGTCCTTTACTTTAATGTGGTACATTCACACAAAACTACTATTTTTCTTTAACATGTCTTGATAAAGTTGTTTTGCTAAAGACAAATTTGGAAACATTATTTTCAAACATTATATACTTAAGGAGTTTAGGAATAGCTGTATGACTAGTAGTAATATCATCAAATGAAAGTCAATTAATAAACTTCTAAGAGATCCTTTCTTATTATCAACAATTATTAATTTACTATATCACTTACCCAAATTCACTGCCATAATACATATTGACAACAAACTTTTATTCTCAATTCTCTGATGATATTATTGGGTCTAGGAATACCTATATTCCACAGTTTAGTTGACTTTCTACTTAGAAGCTTGGAAATGAACTAGTACCTTCTTTAGTACATGTCAGTTTCTGACCATGGTTTAACTTTAACACTTTTTCATTTATTCACAAAAAATGAAAGCGTACATCATTCACCGTTGTGATACTGATATCAATGTTATATTACTACATATATACATTATGTATATTTAATCATATGTACATTATGTATATTTAATCCATTACGTTAGGACAAATAAGAAAAAAATCAAGTGCTTATGTGTAAAGGATCTCAGTGTAATCCCAATATCTAAATAACATCAACCTCTTAGAAGGATGGAAGGTGAGACATTTCTTCAAAAGATCTGTCACAGTTTCAGGAAGCTCCTGGTAAAGAGAGAAAATAATTAATTAAAATGATCAATTTTAGTAATGTATTTTATTTAAATGTTTGATAATTTAGAAGATTTTGTTTTTTTAAAGTTTTTATTTGTACTTTATACAAATGTAGTCACTGTGCAAAGGCAAATACTTAATGGGAAATAAGCATTGCTTTAAAATGGCTTGCAATTGGATCCCTAGTGTGTAAAATAAATTTTGATTAACAGATTGCCATTGTTTTATTGTATCCCCTCCAAAGTTCAGGCTTAATGAACTTTGAAACTTAATTGTCAATGTAATGGTATTAAGACGTGGGGCTTTTAAGAAGTGATTATGTCGTAAGAGCTCTTCCCCTGGTGAATGGCATTAAGAGGCTTAGAAAAGGGAGACTTCACTTAGCAATTGCCTAGTTTGCCCTTCAGGTTTGTGAGGACAGTATTCCTCTCTCAGGAGACTGCAGCCCTCACTAGACAACTGAACCTACTGGTGCCTTGATCTTGGACTTCCTAGTTTCAATAACTGTGGAAAAATAAATTTTTGTCTTTATAAATTACCCAATATCAGGTATTTTGTTATAGCAGCACAAATGGACAAACCTTGATAATGACAAAGATTAATGACAAACCTTTATAATGTCCAGACAACCATGCTCTTCAGCCAGAACTATTAAAGTGTCATCTACACAATCTATAAAACAGAGAAAACTATATGAATACATGCCTCTTTTCTAAACTTCCAACAAATCAAAAAATAAACTCTGATCAAAAATGTTTTAATGGAGTAATGCAGTTCTGGAACTCAGAATACTGAAAACTTTATCATTTTGTTAAATTTCCTTTCATGTTTTGATAAAAATGAAAAGCTTCAGACAAATACTAATTGAAAAACTGATACTGAAAGATACTAGCTTAACAAGTTTGATAAAAGAGCAATTCCTTTACAAGGAAGGTAAAGATACTCGATCTCTGTCTCTAAATACATACATGCAGACACACACAGTTGACCCTTGAACAACATGGGTTTGAATTGCACAGGTCCACTTATATGTGGATTGTTTCCAACCAAACATGAGTTGAAAAATACGGTATTTGTGGATGTGAAATCCACATGTATGGAGGACCCATTTTTCATACACATCGGTTCTGCGGGACTGACTATGGAACTTGAGTACACATCAATTTTGGTACATGTGCATGTGCTATAAACAATTCTCTTCAAGAAATGACTGTATATAAACAGCACTTTTAAGAAGGCTTTGTAACTTTTTTTTTCATGATTACAAGACAAATTTGTTTTATTATACATAATTTGGACAATGTACTTACATTTATCTGGGAATTTAAAGTATAAGTTTAGATTACAGACCACATTTAAGAATCTCCAAAGCTTAATAGCTGTAGTATTAATCTTTGTAATTAAATGTGGTAAATCCAGTAAAATTTTTGCAAATTTACTTATAAATCATTATTATTCAATGTTTACTAATATTTTCCTGTACATATTCTTATTTGCAAACATTCATAAGTTGGATACCAATCTGTCACTCTTTTATATAAAGTGTTCTATCACTGTTTTTTTCTCCTTAATTATCAAACATGCTTAATTATTTCCAGTCTAAAGCAGATTACATAAATTTTTATTAATTTGAATTACACATTTGGATCTACATACATGCAAATACATATCAGCCTTTTACAAAGAAAAATCAATATTCTTCTTGAGTTGTTATTTGTACATGATTCATCAGATAGAAAGATAGCCCAAACATTAATATATACTCTCTGCTATAAAAATACAATTTTATAGTCTCATAATTTGATTTTACAAGTTAATTTACTTGGCTAGATCATAAAGCTAAGATTATTTTCATCTAGGTTAAAATTCCTCAGAGAATAAAAAAATTTCTGCTGTAATATTTTAGAAGGCACTTCCTATGCTGTTCTGCTGATCATTACCACTGATCATTAGCAACTTGAGCAAAGGGGGTATTTCAGTGTACTCACTATTTCAAAAGAACGCATCATCAATCTTCACGATTACTAATAGATACTGAGTTATATTTATATTTGAAAGATAAAAAATTTTCTGACATTTACCCAAAGTAAGCAAAAATTTTAGTCTTTCGGAAATATCCAAGCTCTGAAATAATTTTCTTCCCTAAATAAAATGAGAAAAGAAATTTGTGTTAATATTTCCATCTTTTTTCTAGGGAGGTCTTTTTCTTCCCCCATAGCTGAGACTGATTTTATCAGGCATCTCCATTTATCTCAAAAAGTTTTATTGGATTTTTAAAGTCAGCTCCACTAAAGAAAAATTACTGGTGAAATAACATTTTAGAATGTGTTGCAAAACATGTATCATTTAAAATTTTCATATATTTAAGGGTCACTATATTCTAGTTTGATGTAAGCATTGTTCACTTTTGAGATCCATACATACCTGGATATCTAGAGGTATTCCGGGCCACCTGGAGCCTTATTTTATTGAGACCAAGATGCCTCCTGGGTAAGACCGATTATACTCTTTCATCTACCCAGCTAATTGTTACTTGAATATAATGATTCAGGTGATCTAATCTCCATTAAAAATTTTCCTAACACTCCTTCCTCTTCCCACAATAACTTCAGACAGCCTTACTTCACACTCCTACATACCTGGTATATTTTTAAAAGATGTACATATTATACTTTAATTGTTTCCTTATTAGTCAGCTTCAGGAGGCTCCTTGGTATAAGGTCTGGAGTCAACCACTTATACCTTCAGCATTTATGAGCTGAGCAATGATTGTGTGCCAACTGAACTCTTCCACCACCAGACAGTTACATAATTTGGGCAAACTACTTAACCACCTGAAGTCTTACTTTTCTCATCTATAAAATTAAAATATTAACTGTACCACAGGCTACGGTGAGGGTTACATTATGCAGAGTATGCTTCATTAATGTTAGTTATCATATTTCTCTTATCATAAACAAAGTAAGCTTATATGATCATTTAAATAAACTTAGAAGGAAAAGGCTTAAGAGTACCTGATGTTTATAAAGAGATGCTTTGATTTTTTTTTAATAGAGAAGAAAAAATGTTCTTAAACACTTATCAAATCAACACTACAGGTAGAGAGATCGTTGAAAAAAAAAAGTGTCAGTCTTCTCAATCCTAAATTACTGAAATTACTGTCATATCGATCTTCTAAAAACGCGGGTTTGATTTCAATACACTGTTAAACTTTTAATGGTACTCCATATATCTTATGTAACTAAAATAAACGTCTTAACTTAGTAAAAATGTACACATTACTAGAGAGATCAAAATAATATACATCTGGTAACATTTACATTCACACTTAGTAAAAAAATGTTTCTAGAGATCCAAAAAAAATGTGAATTTATTAAAGATGATTAAGTCAAATTAAGCCTTTTCTCCTCATAATCAATTTGTACAGCAAAAACACAGTATTATTAAATAACTTTCCTCTCCAAAAGATTATTTCAATAAATGCACAATTTGTTTTTATTATATTAATATTTCTTTATACATACCACACAAAGCTCAAATAAAATGATTCCAAGAGACCATACATCTGATTTGGGGCCAGAAGGCAATGGTTTTTTACTTGGCATGTGATCAGTGGTTTTGAGAATTCCCTGTGCAATTACCTCAGGGGCCAAGTATGAGGGATATCTGTAATGATAGATACATTAAAATAATGAATAATTACAATAGGGAAGGAAGCAATAGTACATTTTTACAATCAGTGTGGTAAGATCTATGTAAAAGTTCCATGCAATTAAATTAACAACTCTTACTAGAAAACATTCTAAACTAATCATCATAATACAGATATTTAATGTCAAGGAATCAAGAGTAAATATACACAAGTCCCAAATATTTTTAAAATCCTCCCTCCAACATTAATTCCTTTCTTTGCTTTTCTCTGTATTTTTAACACAGTTCTCTAGGCTTCCAAGGACTTGTTTTTCCTTCACCCTTATTGCCTATCTTCCGTTAATACTAAATATTTAAAGTGTATTTTATCTTTTAAAAAGTAGTTACTATTTTTAGTAGTAGAATGTCAAAGCTATAAAAAGATATAAATTGAAAAATGAACTCCTAGCTCTATACCCCTGTCATCCATACATATTTATGTGTATATAACTTTGTCCAGCCATCACCTCTGCCCCCACATGGTAGAATACTATATATATTGCTATATACCTCTTTGTTCTTTAAAAACACGAGTTTCCTCATTTTTGAAAACTGCCAATAATTTCACTGATGCACTTAACTTGACAAAAAAATATTTTAGAACTTCCATTATTTTGCTATTATCAGTTAGATGAAAATATTATAAATATTTCCCACAAGTATATACATATAAAAGACAGATAAATTCTTAGAAGTGGTACTCCAAGATCATAAGGTATGTGGATTTTAAATTTTGATTAATCACACCAAATTGCCCTTTGGAGAAGTTGTATCAACTTTTATTGTCAGAAGTAATACATGAGGGTGCCTATGTCCTCACCATTTCACTCACATAAAAAGTTTTTTTCAAAACTGTTCAGCAAATAATGAATAAATGTGAAACACTGCTGATTAATATGAATAAGGTATAAAGAAGAAAGCTTCAATGAACATCCATGTACCAAGAAGCAGTTTAAGTGAAGAACACAAAATTATCACTAAAGGTCCCTTTGTTCTCCCTGATTCGATCTCCAGCCCTGTTCCTCAAAAGGAAAAGATGTCTAGAATTTTTGTTTACCATTCTCTTCTATTTCCTGATGGTTCTGCCATATGTTTGTATTCCTAAAAATATATACTGTTTAGTCAAGCACATTTCTGAACTTTATAACATTGGAATTAGGATGACTGCATTCTTTTGCTTTTTCAATCAACATTATCTATATTGCTGCATGAAGGTGTACCCATTAAATTCTTATTTCCATTTTATGAATACATCATAATTTAGTTATACATTCAAGTGTCAATGGCATTTAAGTTGTTCATCATTAATACTATGAACAATGTTGCACAGAATACCACGTATGGTATACATCTGAAAAAGGCTCCCAAGGGTAACAACCTAGAACCAGATTTCTAAGCTATAGGATATGTGCACTTTCTACTTCATTACATGACACCAAATGTTTTTCAAAAGGAGTTATAGCAATCTATACACCTGCCAGCAGTGAATGATAGTTCCTATTGTTTTACTTCTTCACCAACACTAGATATTTGACAGATTTTTTTAATGTTTAACAATCTGGTATATAAAATCTATTGTGGTTTTAAACTGCATTTCCTTGAACATTAACGACATTGAGGCATGTGTTCACATGTTTATTAGTCATTTGGGTTTGTTATTGTGTGATATGCCCATTCAAATCTTTTGCTTATTTCTCTAGTTGTTTTGGGGTCCCCAATACCACTCTCATATTTAGAAATTCACTAGAAGGACGTATTAGACCTAAGTGTACTCACAGCTAAGATTTATTACAGTGACACAGTAAGGACATAGCTGGATCACAAGGGACAAAGACAGAGAGGGAGTCTTAAGGAACCTATATTCAGGCTTCCTTATGCTCTAACCCTCCTATCAGGGATCACGCACAATACATTCTTCTTCCAGCAACAAAAATGTAGCACTATGTATATGATGTATTTTTCTTTTTTTTTTTTTTTTTTAACCTCTTTCCAATCTTGAAGAACAAATGTTATGTGATGTTTCTGGCCAGGGAAGCCCATTGAAAATTCAAGGATTTTATTTGGGACTTGTCACACAGGCACTCTCTGCCTGTCGTGTACAAAAATTCAAGACCTCAAAAAGAAAAGCAAGGGTTTAGCATAAACCGCTTTGGTTGTTTACGACGACAGTAAACTAGCCTCAGCAGTTAGGGATCCATGGGAACATTTCTGCAATAGAGGTTTCAAGACAATAGCCAATGGCAAACATTGCTAGCAGGATTTATTTTCTAAAGACAACAGTCTTAGGCTATGATAAACTTTTACTGCACAGTTGTTCTTTAATTCCAGATACTAATGCCTTCTTCAGTAACTATGACTTGACATACCTTCTACCACTTAGTGGTTTTGTTTTTTCTTTCTGTTTATCGTATCTGTTTATGAATAAGAAGTTCTTATCTTTCATTTGTAATCTTTTTTCCTTATACTTACTGATTTTGTCAAAATAATCTATTACTTTCTCAAAGTTTCACAGTTTAGCCATTTATATTTAAGTTTCTTGATCCATCTAGAATTCATTTTTCATAAAATGTCAGACAAGGTACAATTTGTTTTCCTACATAATCAACTGAGGCCTGTTCCCTTTATTGAAATCTCTTTCTCCCTAAGTAGTCTGCAGTGCCAGCTGTGCTCTAAATCAAATCTCCAAACATATGTAGGTTTGTTTCTTGGCTCCCTCATCTGTTCATTTGGTCAATTTGCCTAATAGTACAGTATTACACTATTTTAAATAAAATATTTTATATAAAACATTTTATTAAATATTACTGATAATTGTTAGACCTCTCAAAACAGACACAACTTTTAGTTTCTCCTTGGGAAAATGTAGGCTCTTTGTAAGTGTTTGTTCTTCTTTATATACATTTTAAAACTACCTTGCCAAGTATTTTCTCTTTCATATACAGTTAAATTTTTATTGAAAATAGATAAGATATAAAGACAGGCTGTAGAGAACTAACATCTTTACAATACTGACCCTAGCAATCTGTAAACATGCTATCTCCATATTTATATAGGTCTTCTATGTCTCTCAAAATGATTTATATTTCTCCATAAAAGAACATACTGTCATGGGATTTTAGGGTGCTGCTTTGCCAGGTGGAAATCCCTACGGCCTTTACCTGAGTTTACTTGGTGCCTTTGCCTGAGTTTACTTGGGCCCGCTGTGCTCATTCCATCCACTTGGACTGGCAGGCTCTGGTCAGCTCGAGCTACTGGCCTGGATGCCATGCCTGCCAAGGGAGAGCCAGGCATGGAGAAGCAAGGGGTATATGAGTGAGTGTGGGGTCTGACACTGTGCACAGCCATGTTTAATGGCTGCAGCAGGGCAGGCAGGTCCAGGTGCTGGCACAGACAATGGATCCCTGTAAGGCTGCAGCTGAACCAGGTATGTTGCAAGCAGCTTCCACAGCTGGCACCAGGGAACATGGTTGTGCCTGGAAGCTTGCAGATGCCGGGAACTGCAGAGCCCCAAAGAGAGAGTCACAGCTCTGGCTTAGAAAGCTCCTAGGTCTGGGCTCCCCAAAGGACTACAGCTCTTTTCTCCTGTTTTGCAATGTGGCAAGCAAGAGACTGTTTCAGCACTGTTTGTTATAGCTGTCTTAGCCCTACCATTTGGCAGGTCCCGAGTTCTTGTCCTGCATCCCGCAAGAATAAGGTAGGTGGACAAGTGGAGGGTGAGCAAGGTAAAGAGACTTATTTAGCTATAGAACAGCTAAGGAGACCCATAATGGGTAGTTCCTCTCCACAGGCATGGTGTCCCTACGAGTGTTCAGCCCTCAGCAGAAAGAAGACCCTGCAGTGGGTAGCTCCTCTCTGCAGCTGGCCATCTATCAACTGCTTAAGTCTGGCTGAGTCCAGGGTTTTTATGGGCCTTAGAGGGAAGAAGTGCACATCCATTGGTCCATGTGTGGCCATAGGTGGGCCCAGAAAAAGCACAAGTTCCTACTCATGTCCACAGGACCAGCAGGAACTCCCCAGGCTTCAAGCCCTTCCCAGCCTGAAGGTGGGGCTTCACCAGGGACCCATCCCCTTTTGCCCAGGAACCTGTTTGATCCCTGTTCTTCATGGTAGCCAGGCTGTTCGTGCCAAGGGGTACCTGCAGGCCAGTGCTGAGCTGCCCTCTGCCCCCTTTGGACTTTCTCCCTTGCTTGTCGGTGTGCAAAGTCCACAGGGGGCTGGCATGTCCATGCTGCCTTGAGTGTGTGCACACCTAGCCAGGGTGCAACAGTGCCTGGGCTTGGTTCCAACCTTGTTCAAAGATCAGAGTGGGCACAGGGAGCACAGAGAGGCCAGGCAGTGGGGCGGACATTTCTGAGCCTACATCACCCAGGAGAGCTGGGCTTCTGCCTGTTCCTGGCACACAAGAGCACAGGGAGTCTCAAGTCTGTAGCGCCAAATAGCGTGGCTGCAGCTATGCCCGGGAAAGGCAGGGCTGCTGCCTATTCTTGGCCTCCGTAGGCTCCGTGAAGTGCCAGCCCCAGCAGTGCCTCCCCCACTGCATCCAGCAACATGGTAGTGGCCATTCCACACAGGCCACTGCCGCCATCAATACTTTATCTGATTCTATAAAGTACTCATTTTGCCTGTTCTATATCTTATATGATAAGCTATACAAGATACAATGCTATACATGTTCTATATACTACAGATTTCACATACAAAAATTTAACCTATCATGTCAATTAGAAAAAAAAAAAAAAAAAAAAAAAAAAAAACTATGTACTTGAGGGCACTTGTGTATCTTTTTATAAACCCTCTGCAACTACCAAAGAAACTTAAGTAGAGGATATGCTCAGCATAGTTTTGCTTAAAAGAAGAAAAAAACATTTCCTATCAAAAATGCCCATTAGGATAGCCTTACAAAAAACAACTTAAAAAGTGGTTAGTAAATAAGAATTAGACATAGGGGCATTTGCTAAATTTGAATAAAAGAAATAAGAACAGTTTTAGAAGAGAGATGGAGTGAAATTTTGCCATGGTTATTATACATGTGCATGCCCTTTCTTCATTTATTGTCAGATTTAGTCGTTAGTACCACAATCTGGAGTTTAAAATCAATTAAATTCTGTCCTCTTACAATGATGAATATAATCAAAATGTATTTAAAAATATATATCATCTATGTAATATATAATAAGCAGGCATTCAAATATTACTTCTATTTTTCTCCTACCTTTTCTATAGCCACTTCCTCACACATCATTGCTAGTACTTCTTATTTACATTCAAAATACCAGTCAATTAAATAAGGGAATGCGACTTAAATTCAATAGGGCAAATTTGTTTTTTAACTCCTTTTTCATTTTAATAGGATGATGATGGTGATACCAAGCAAATTATTATCTTCTTATAATTTGCTCATGTATTTCTCTCATATACAAATTTGGATTGTGTTATTTTACACTAGGATGATCATATTGCTCTTCTAAATGAATGTGTGATATCTCTAGAAACAGCTAAAGTCTAGTGGAAGCAGCACTAGACTAGATGTTATAATACCACTGTACCTACTAGGCACAGTGGCTCATGCCTGTAATCTTAGCATTTTGGGAGGCCAAGGCAGGTGGATTGCCTGAGCTCAGGAGTTCGAGACCAGCCTGGGCCACACGGTGAAACCCTGTCTCTGCTAAAAATACAAAAAATTAGTGGGGCATAGCCGTGTGTGCCTGTAGTCCCAGCTACTCATGAGGCTGAGGCAGGGAATTGCTATGTGGGATGCGGGGGTTGCGGTGAGCCGAGATTGCACCACTGCACCCCAGCCTGGGCAACAGAATGAGACTCTGTCTATAAAAATCAAAAATAAAGGAAAAAAAACTGTGTTCTAATTTCAGTTCTACCACATACTCTATATGTGATTTGGGCTTCTTCATCTGTAAAACTGGAATATTGATGCCTACCTAACAGAACTTAAAAATATTAGTGAATACATAAAGACATTAAATAAAAATAAAAAATTCAATACAAATGCAATGATGTACTTTTATCATCAGCACAATATATCTAGAAGTCAGTGTTCATCTTTATTCCTTATTTCCAGCACATCTAACCCTAAAATGGTAATACTATAATGAGAAGTCAAGCAAAACTATAGGTAAATTATTACATCAAAAACTTCTGACAGGACAGAGATAAACTTTGTTTCAAATATTTTAGTTTCCCTTTTAATCATAGAAAAATTATTAAAAAATAATAAGCTCTAGAATTGTTATTTAATGTAGGTCATCTTTTTTCAACAACCTTCTCTTTTGCAGCATAGCATTTTAACACTCAAAGACAATTACCAGAACTTTGCTGTGAGTATGACTGATGAGGTAAATATAAGTGGCTTTCAACATCTGTTTGATGTTTTAACAAGGTATTAAGCTACTGGCCAACTGAAATGAATGCCCAATTTCCAAGTCTTTACAGTATTTTGAAACAGATGGTAACATTTTACTTTGTTGTTCCTTAATATTTGTCTTTTGAATCAACTGCAAGCTTCTTCTGGTGTAAATATTTTCTTTCATGCCTTAGCTGTTTGATCACTTTATTTTTCCTGGCTAATGTTTCACATTTTGCTCTTTGATATTTTCTGGTAAGACCTTTTAGGTCTAAGACTTCAAAGCAAGCCAGACCAAATGGTAACACAAGACCAATTCTATCCAAGCATTTTAAATTTAAGTGTAGCTCTTACTTGACATGGTTTAAGAAAAATCACCTTCTTTCTTCGATTCATCACTGAAACCTAAATTACCTTTAAATAAAAATCAAAAACTTAAAGTAATTTTTATGTTATGTTTTTGGATTTCTTTCTTACACAAATTGATTGAGACAAAAGCAGCAGCACAAATCACTTATACTACAGCTTCTTAAAAGTCACTTCGAAAGGCATTTATCATATATGACAAAGGGGCTAGAGCTTCACTAAAAACTTACATTCGTAAGTTGAAAAAAGAAACCCTTTCATATTCAAAAGGGGTTTTTTTTGAATAAATAAGAAATTGTAGATTATCTTTGCAAAATGTCATTTTCATGCTTATGAAACAAGAATTGGTTTTTGCCTATAAGTTTTCAGTACACAAAACTATAAGACTGAATTTATGTACCTTAATAAGCAGCCCATCAAAACAGAGAATTCTCCCACTAAACAATGAGCTTCTTGAGGACAGAAAGCAATCTTATTTTTGTGAAACCAACAAGCAGAAGCAAAATTGCTCAATAAATGTTTCCTCACCGAAGAAAAGTTTAAATTTATTATCTATGTCTTAATAGTAAGACACAGGTTATGAATTTAATAAAAAGCTTTGTTAAGAAAACCATAATTTGAGTTATAAAGAAAAAAGGGCAAGTTATGTATGAGGTGGATTTAAAAAAATCAAATTTCAGTTTTTAAGTATTCTGTTTCAAAAAGATACTCCATGACTCCATATTACAATAGTAATGGTGTGACAGAACTGATTTTTGGAAGCCCAAAGAGGAAAACTCAAATGCATACTATGAAAAAACAGCCACACTACAATTGAAAAAATATGATTAAGGTCTCTAGGTTAGATAATATTACTCCATCAAGTTTAGTTTCCTTATTTTGACAACTGTTCTGAGGTCAAGTAAAATAAAAGTCCTTCTTTTAGAAAATACAAACTGAAGTACTTAAAGTGCTATTATGTACATTAATTACTATTAAGCGATTCTAAAAAACAATCATTGTACACACACACACATGTATGTTCAGAGAAAAAGACAGAAAAGCAAATATACTGAAATGTTAACATTTCAAGAAACTTTATGCTATTTTTATAACTATTTTGTCTAAAACAATGTCAATTTAAATCTTTAGAAAAGAAAATAATTATATTATGAAAATATCTAAAAGCAACCACACAAATATAACACAAATATCTTTATCAGAAACAACTACTTGAATATCTATGAAACAACCTTCCATTTCTTTTGTGGAGGGCAAATTACATCTGCAATTCCATACTAAAAGTGTTTAAATAAAACTTTTTGAACTTAAACATAGACTTTCAGGTATGGAATTTATCTCTAATATCCACAGTGACTCAACTTGAGTCTTAATATATAATTATATATTAGAGAAAAGGGAATTAAACATGAAACATTAAATTGAAAGTAATGTGAGAGTAATCTTTTTCACTCTCTTGATGCACACACATTATCATTAATTGAGAATCTAGTCGTCCTTCTTGCCTTAAGTTGATTTGATTCTGAATGAAATACAGATAATTAGGAAATTTACAATGTAAGGAAGGTTAACACTGGTAGCTTCTCTGCCAGTTCAATGATCAACATCAAGGATCTATGGATGCTGGGAAAAACTCATTGTCTACTCATTTAAAAAGTATATGGAAAAAAAGAGGCATTAATATTTAAAAAGATGTTTTCATGTCAAAAGGGAATATCAAATATAATTAACAAAATACAAATGTTATCAAAGATTACAAAATTTAAAAAGAAACTCAAGATAGAGGAAAACATACTCTTACCCTATTGGGAAATCAACATCATCACCATAAGCTGTCATGTGATAAAGTCCAAATTTAGCCAATTTAACGTGTCCCTACAATAATAAAGAGAAAAAAATGCTATCGAATATTTTATTATAATTGGCAAGGAATATTATCATTATACATTTTATAACTAAAGAAACCATTATAAAGCAATATTTTATCAAAATACCACTATAAAAGAGTTTTTAAAAAACACAATTTTATAAAAAACTATCTGCCAATATTTAGTCTGCTTTACACTCATTAAATATGCACAGGCATATGTACTCATATATCTCAAAATGACAGGTGACATTTTTCTTTAATATTTTTGCTGTTACACTGTCTAGTTATTTCACAAAACAAAAAGGCAAAAATGTTTTCATCTGTCTTGAAACCCTGGTTAGAATGTTTTGTGGTAATTTTCACAGAGGAAATTTTTTTCCACAGAATTGCAAGTCCATTTGTAGTTACAATTTAACTGTGAAATAGGAAAACTTAACTTGAAAAGATCAGTTCAAAAATCATCAAGATTTTGGTGAATCTGCTGTATTGTTTGTGAACAAAAATAACTACCATAAGTATGAGGTTCTTAATAAGCGACAAATATAACTTTATGTCCTTTAAGTTATTTCCCTTTTAATCTATAAGGCTTTGAAAATATTAAGTTGATCTTAAAATTGGTGTGTCTTCTCAAGAACATTATTTCCAAGTATTATAAAATATTTATATTAAAACAGCTTGGATTGATTCTTTACTGAATGAATGATTCTTTACTGGCACAAATTTGAAATTAATGAGTACAATTTTCACTTTTGCTGTTTGTGTATTTGTTTTGTAGAGACAGGGTGTTACTCTGTCATCCAGGCTGGCATGCAGTGGTATGATCATAGCTCACTGCAGCCTCAAACTCCAGGGCTCAGTAACACTGTCATCTCAGCCTCCCAAGTATTGATTTGGGAAAAGAACCAGAAAACAAGGATAATCCTACTAGTACAGCAGATAATGCCCATGAAAAAATTTCTTTTAAGTTGTTTTTATATATTTTGTGAAGAGAAATAAAATTACAATTATTCTTGAAAATATACAACCTTGCTATCCATAATTCTCTTAGAAAGGTTTACTAGCTTCTTCTTAATGCCACCTAAGATTTCCAGTAGAGAAGCAACACTTCAATAGTGAAAGTAGGTAGGTATGAACAGCTGGTATATAAGGAGAAAAACAGAAGAAGAAAGGAGGAAGAAGAAAAATAGAGAAAACACATGCAGTTGGTTTATATAAATAACATTCTAGCAGAAAGAGCCATTTTCTTAAAAATGAAAATAAATTCAGAGAAGTATGTTGGGAAGCCACCAGGCTTTAGAAAAAAGAATAAAATTTAGACAACCATAAAGATAGAAAATGAGTCTTGTGGGAAAAAAATAATCCATGTGAAAGATATACAGATTAAATAATTTAAAGATTCTTTTTTCAAATACCACAATTATATCACTTTCATATCGTATTTTCATTGCAAATATTCTTAAAAACATATTCTGATTCTATTGTTCCTCTGACAGAGTAGCTCTGATTCCAGTTGCTTCCAATTCCAAACAATAAATAAATATTTATTACATGATTTAACAATTACCTTTCGGTCCAACAGGATATTATGAGGAGACAATGCCCTGTGTACTATACCATGTTTGTTCATATACTGCAAGCCCTGAAGAACCTCAAATGCTATGCACAAAACCGTTGAACAGCTACAAAGAAAACAAAAAGTCAAAGTTCAATTACAAAGCAAATAAAGAACTTGATTTAACAAGTGAAATGTGATCTAGTAAAAACATTCAAAAAGCTTATTTTTATTGCTCCTCTTTCATTCTGAGAAGATAAAATCTGTATATTTTCTAAAATATCTACCTCTACATATTTTAGATTTTCTGATTATAACGGAATTGATCTGACAAAGAGCCCACAGTTTCCTAAAGGCTACTGTAATTGCAGTATTTGGTCCTTCCAGGAAAGGACTTTAATTTTCGTGGTGAGTGCAACTAACCTATAGCAGGTTTGGCTTTGCCAAATTATCAGTTAAGTTTCAGACTTACTTATGGCAGAACTAAGTCACTAAAAACTATTCTGCTCAATACAAAATGCCTAAGCCACTGAAAATAATAGTAACAATGTATTTTATGGTATACAGACACTAGCTTATTTTCCGTACTCAACTTACAAAGCAACTTGTGGTCATTTATGATTTAGCAAACATTTCTCTTTAATTCTTATCCTATCTTCTACAAGCCATCCTTTACACAGATATCCTCCAGTTTCCTTCCCCTTTTCCCTCCTCCCTCTCACCATCCATCTCTCTAATTTTTTTTTTTCAATTTGCAAGTCTATTCAAGTAAATTACCTGGAAATAGGTACTATATTTGGGTAAGTATTGCTACTTAGCAGGAGCAAGTAGGATTTGGAGCAGGTTTTAATTTTTATCATTACCTCTTTATAAAGTAGGGATTGTTCATTTGCGGACATTGGTGTCTGAATTAAATTTTTTTCCTGTTGGCATTTCTTTTCTGTTTTTTTTTTTTTGAAAAGTTTAAATCTCAGAATAAAGTTTAAGACAAATGTAATATTGACATACAATTAAACTAGCTTTATTAATTATCCTATAATTTTTTAATCAATCACGTAGGAAATTTCCACATATCTATGATATTAACATTTTGGTATATATTTTCCTATTTATCCATTGTTTTAAACTTTTCTAAAATCAAATTTGTGTTTGCAGATAGACACTAAATGTAATTTTTAAAACTAATACTAGAGATAAAATGGAATCATAAAAAAAAATTCAACCTACAAACAGGTACAAAAGGAAAAAAGAAGAAAGAACAGGCAGAAAAATAGAAAATGACTAACAGATTTTAATCCGGATATAGCAATAGTGATATTAAGTATAAATGGTCTCAACTCACAAATTAAAACATAAGGATTGTCAGATTTTGTAAGAATTTAAACTCAGCTATACTCACTCTATAAGAAACCCACACTAAATAAAAGACATAGGTTAAAAGGTAAAAAATGGACTAACAGATTGCCATGGGCTTGAGTGGGGGGCGGGGGCAGTGGACTACAAAAGAGTATGGGAAAGTTTTGCGGTGTGAGGTAACTATTCTATTCTTGATTTTGACGGTGATTACATACCTTTGTTTATCAAACTCATTGAACTTTACATTAAACAGGATAAATTTTAAGGTATGTAAATTATACCTTAATAAACCTGATAAGAAAAACAGTAAATTGAATAAAATTTTTATGAAAATAGTTGCAACCTGATTCTCTCTCCTAAATTAAAACCAAAAGAAATAACCAGAGATAAAAGCTAAAATCTGCCTCTCTTATCCTAGTTTGACTTTCCAGTGGGAATCAGTAATTTTTGTTTTCAATTCTTCTGGTGGTTAGACGTTTACTTACTTAGCATAACTAACTCTTCACTATGCAAGAGGATATAGTCCACGTATTTTCAGAACTTTACTATTTTTCTTCCTCAACTCCTTTTTCTTAGTTACATTGTTTTACATTATCAAATAATCATCAGCAATTCTTGTTTTCAATTCTTCTGGTGGTTAGACTTTTACTTAATATAACTAACTCTTCACTCTGCAAGAGGATATGGTTGACATATACAACTTCCCCATTTTTCTTCCCCAACTCCTTAACTGTATTAGTTATATTGTTTTTACATTATCAAATGATATGTGGGATAAAGGAAACCTACACTCCTTTCTCGAAGGTGAAACAAATAAGTAAATAGATAATGTGATATTTAGTGATTAAATGAATAAAAAAATAAAGTAGAGAAAATACATAACATGCTCAGGGAAGTCCTCACTGAGAAGGTGATAATTAGGTAGAAATCTACAAGACGTGATAAAGTCAGGTAGGTCTCTGGAAAATGTATGATTCGGACAGAGGGCACAGCAAGCAAGCCCTGAACTAGTATAATGTCAGCAGCTCACAAAAATATATTCAGTGCATACAGGAGAATGAGCAAAGAATAAAGTGACAGGAGAGAAGCTCAGAGAGGTTGCTACAAGTCAGATGATGCAAGGCCCTTTAGGCCACTGTAAAGCCTTTGGCTTTTACTCTGAGAAAGATGGGAAGTGACTGGCACACTGCCATATGATAATAATGATTAACAAATATTTACTGTAGAACTAAGCAAAGAAGGAAATACAAACCTAGGCCACTTAAACCCTCGCTCCCAAGAGAAAATGTCATCAAGATTTAATGGACACCATAATTTTACAACTCTACTTACGAAGATTATCATCAGCTACTATAATTTTTATATCTCATACTATTTTTATATTTTTGTTTAGCTATATCTTGAGAAATTGTTTCATACAGGGAGCACGAGTAGTACATTTTCATGCATGGCTCATCTGAAAATATCTTATTCCTGCCTTTAAACTTGGAAAGAATTACTCCACTGTCTTACAGCATTCTTTATTTAAATGGTAAGAAGGCCAGTATAAGTCTGATACCAACTTTGCTGTAGACATCTGCTACTCCTTCCTGGGAAGCTTTGAGAATTATTTTTACTTTATCCCTACAGTTACAAAATTTCAGCCCAGTATGTCTAGTGTGAGCATGTTTGTGCCAGTCAGCATTAAGCATGTCCTTTTAATCTGAAGACTCACGTGTTCCATTAACACAGAAACATTAACAAGGACAATTTGATTTGTTATGTCTTTCACCGTTTTCTCTTTCTTTCTCTAAGTTGGAACTCTTAGGTAGATGAGAACTGGAACTATTTTTTTAAATTTAATTTTTGTGAGTACATAGTAGGTATATATATTTATGAGTTACATGAGTACTGATATAGGCATGAAATGTGTAATAATCACACCATGTAAAATGGGATGTCCCTCAAGTATTTATCCTGTTATAAAAAATTCAATTCTACTTTCAGTTATTTTAAGATGTACAATTAAATTATTAACTATAATCATCCTGTTAAATTAACTTTTTGTTTTAAGAGCACAGTCTTTAGTCCTATTATAACTTAATTCCAGGAGAGGGAGCGAGAGATATCCAGAGATCTAGAGGAGAGAGAGAGAGAGAGAGAGAGAGAGAGAGAGAGAGAGAGAGACAGAGAGAAATCCATTAATTTCTAGGATTTCTATTATGTCCTCTAGTCGCTCCTTGTAGATACTCTTCTTTGGTTATGGATATATCACTCCTTTGAGTAACTCTGAGAATAGTTAGAACTCTTTTAATGCTGAAAAAAGAGTGATATCTTCATTTATTCTGTGGTGAGTACTTCCTCTCCACCCCTTCTCCAGGCTCTGTTTTTCTCAAACTATCTTTTTGCCTCAAATATCTGGTAATCCAATCCCTGGCTGTCAGTCATATTTTGAAGTAAAGGAGTAAGTTGATATTCCCCATGATGTGCGTAAAAAAGAAGCAATGAAATTTACTATTTATAAAGAATGCTATTTAAATTGACTGTAAATTATTACTTTTTATCAAATAAATAAACTGCTATATCACTGAGTCTTAAACAAATAGGGAATGTGCGAAACAAGCATAATTTGGAGTAAACAGTTTTCATAAATATCTTCAAAAAATAAACTGTACAAATGGCAATATCCCAAACTTAAGAAAAATTATTTGTAACTTACCAATAAAGAGGTAAGGATTTTATGTAAAAGCACAATTACATTGATAAATATGTGCACATGAAATAAAACAAAGTCTTTCCCTTAAAAACAAAAATTTTCCATGGGATTAACAAAATATAAACCTAGTTTTATGAACTCATTTGGCTCTACAAGTCAATTTTAGAGTAGCTTCTCTTGTTCTTGTCTCTCACACAATTTACAGAATCTTAAAAATTGATGCCATATTCAGCTGTGACACTAGAGGACCTCAGCTGCACACTACTTCAATATAGATGTCTTTCTCGTGAAATTAAAACCAAACCTTCAAAGTAATTTTCCCATGGAACAAGTTCTGAAACTACTGAACACAAAGACTACATTTTCCACTTTCTATACTGTGTTTTTGCTAATTGTGATATATTAAATATTAGATATGCATGTCAAAAAGCACATTCATGTTCAAAATGAGCTGATGAACATACATACCAAAATAATTTTTAAAAATTCAAACATATACATGACATAACCTTTCTTAGACAATACTTGAGAATTACAACCTGATTTGCTTTTCTGCCCTTTCATACTCTTATGATTCAATTTCTTAATTTGTTTCAAAATGTAAGGTATAAAGAACAAAAAACTGTATTTTATATAATGAGAAGAATGAATCAGTATTTGCAGAATTTTGTATATTTACTTGGTTTTTAAGTTATATTCTTTAATACTACCAATAACTTGGATCCAGAAATTTTTTTAAGTACCTGATGCAACAATAAAGTAAAACTATCATATGTCTAGTAATAGTTAAGATGTTATAGTTTAATTGAACATGGACACTAAAAGAAGATTTAGGATTAAGAGACTGGGATACTGACAGGGGACAACAGGACTTTATCCTACACAAGTCCCAAGTGAGAACTTGTTAAATAGACAAACCCACCAGTAACCTAGAAAATGTAAAATTATAATTCAAATAAAAAAATATTCTATTCCTTTTGACATTTCCAGTAACTATTGTTACTTCAGGGCCTGGGTAGCTAACATTTACTCTTTCATCATTTTCCCAAACAAAGAACATAAGAACCTTTAGTTAT